GTGACGCAGCGAGGTGAATGTCACGCAAACTTATGCCGATTTGTTGATATTGAAGCCAAGTTAGTAATGCTTGTGCTGGCGCAAGGTATAGGATGGGGGCAAGCGGACAGCCTTGCCTGACGCCAGCCGCTATAAGAACCCAGTACGAAAGGTAACCATTGACAATCGCCGCTGATTGCGTACTAGTATGCAGACGTCGAACCCAAGCAATAAAGCCCACACCTACACCCAATTCATCCAGACACGCGAACAGAAAGTCTCTATCTAGGGTATCGTAGGCTTTGTAGAAGTCAAGGAAAGCTGCCACACAAGTACGGCGCTCCATACGGAGAAGCGCGGGCAGCAGTTGTAAAAGGAGCACACTATCCGCGATTCGCCTGCCCGTGAGGAAGGCTGTCTGCTCCGTGTCTATGACGCGGTTAAACAGCGGCAATAGGCGTTGCTTGAGAACACGTGCGAGAGTGCGATAGTCTGTACCAAGCAGCGTAATGGGTCTATAATTTCCCGGCACCGTAGGGTCATCCGCTTTAAAAAAAGAGGAAATAATGCCGTCCAGAAAGCCAGTCGGGACCCTATCTAGTTCCCCCATCCGCGAGGCAAAATTCGCTCCTGGCTTTGGGGACGAAGTACGGAGGGTCTATTCGGCAGAGTACGACCGGACACATTTGTGCGAGGGGCTGCTTAACAACTATCGAGAAAACGTAACATGCCCCCCTGCTTAACACAAGCATCGGCCTCGATGCGATCGAAAGTACAAACTAAGGGTGCATTTCCAGTGCGGATTAAGGCCAGGGATTAACCCTCTGTCCTCCATCGATACTTGCTCAAACGGCTAAGTTGTTGGCAAACTTACCTCGCCTTTTCAACCTTTGGTTCCCTTATGGAACAAAACTATGTGGTAAGCTCGTACCAAGGAATTCCGTGCCCTAATCCCTGGCCTTAATCCGCACTGGAAATGCACCCTAAGCTAAGTCGTGCGCCGCTCCGATTCCCTGAACGAAATCGGTACCAGGCTAACGAGGGGAAGGCAAAAGGGAACCGGAGTCAAGGCAAAACCTTCCCCGCACTGGATACCGGCCTAAATAAGGCGCACGACACCTATACCGGCCGGTCTAAGGAACCGGTATATAACCTAACGAACGTGCCCAAAACATCTACAAGAGTACGCAAACCATAAGCCTAAGGCACAGAAAAGCAGACTCGGTGGATGATAAAAAAACAAGAAAACGCGAAAGTACACGACATGCAATACACAGCAACCCGAAAAGAACAGAAGTCAAGACACGACTCGCGCAAAACAGATGCGAAATAAGCCAAAACTGAAACACACAGGACATGATCCACACACTACACACAGCCTACGCGTAGCGCTAGGTTGTCACGAAAAGCACTATCCGTGGGGTGTGTTCCGGAAACTTCGCTCTGAACCAAGCATAGCGGTCTGACAGCTTAAACCCTAACACTCCCTCCACCGGGAACCCTTAGGCTCATGGTCTCTCACCATGTTCGCACTTTGGAAACGCCCTAGCAAATTCTGGACCGATCGTACAGTTCAGTACCAGTGGCAACGACCTAATAACCAACCGGCCGTGCCAATACCGCATTGCGCTCGCGCCTAGCAACCTCCTCGTGCTCCATTCGCTCACGCTGGGCCTCGACAACAGCATGATCAAGCCGAACTGGTGCAAATCCAGCTCGGTCGCTCACCGGAGCGTTTGGTGCTAGCGGTTTCATCCCGCATTGAAGCAGGGTTGCCTGTCTTGCACGTTTTCCAGCGTTGTTCATGTCCTAAGTTTATGACTATATTTTATGTATTTAAGAGCTGATTTCCGCCTTGAAATCCTAGTTTTTGCGAAGTTTGATCGACCGGCTTCGGAGGGTACGATATTTCGGGGCTGCGGTCCCTTGGGATACCTTCGAATTTGTACGTGCTACATATTCGTGGTGCCTCCCTAATTATTGTAGCACGAACTATAAGTAGCACTACGGTAGCCGAAATAGCGCGTGACTGAAGCAAAAATTCCACGACGCGCCTCCGCGGAACGAGAAAACTTGAGCACTCGCCCTTGGCGAAAGACAAGGCGCAAGTACCAGCATGCACCCCATCTTGACTTGCGGCTCTCTCGGGTGACACTCCTTGGCCAGTGCCAGTATCATGGAGATGCCCGGAGGGCCTGCACATCTAGCCCCTTCCACAACGTCTACGCCCCAAAACGTTTCTTGAGGGGCAAGCCCCCCAAACCCCCGAAAACGTCCACGATCCCCCCATTTTGCCCCCAAAACCGTCTGTGTCCCGTAGAAGTGTGCCTCCCGAAACGCAAAAGCTTCTAAGTTTTCGGGCGATTTTTAGGGCAAATTTCTACGGCGTAGAAGGCAGGAAGATACTGGCACTGACCTTGGCGCAGACACGCACCCCTGCATGCCTGTCACGCTGGACCGGCTTCGTGCACGCGGCGTGTCCTAGCTGTCGAGGCGCCGGCGCCGGCGAGGTATGGGTAGCCTTATCAAAAAATCGGCCTGTTCCTTGCTAATAGCCGAGGCCAATGCGCAGTGAGCCCATGCAGCGTGTTTTGCGTCATGATTTCTCTCCCTTGTAGTTGCAAACGGTCACATTTAGCCGCTAGCCGGGCTGCTTCCTCTTGGTTGCTAGCGAACACAAGCCTCTCACACTCCTATACGTTCGCACGCATGCCAAAGCACGTGCAGAAGCCGGAGGCTGACTGCAACACTGCACTTGTCAAGGGCTAACTGCTTCAGTATGCGCCTAGGATCAGGCTGAGAGACAGTGGGTTCAAGCTGCTCTCTCCCCTTTATCCTCACGACCGCCCATACGACGCGCGCCCAAAACACGCACCATGCACAGAGCTGTGCCTGATGGCCACTTTCCCCCTAGCGTGCGACACAATGTGTGCATCGCGGCGTCACACTGCGAGCATCAAGTGGCTCACGAAACGGGATGGGATATGCTGCAGTGGCCGCCAGGCACACAAAAGCGCAAGCTGCACACGTGGGGTCCCGACAGCTTTTTCGCACCGCCTGCACTATCCTTGCGAACGCGATGCTGCTGGCCGCTGGGCGCGGCGCCGGCGGGTCGACAGCCCAGGAGCCGCCGTTAAGCATTTTCTGAGTGCGGCTGAACCTCGGGCCTTCGTGGCGGCGCGTTACAAGGCGGCAGCAGTGCTGCTGGGCCCCGACGGCTGCTACTGCAAGTGTTGCACCAAGGCCGCCAGGTACAGGCATGGCATGTGCGGCACGTGCTACGAGTGGGAGGGCCGGCGCAAGTAGTGCGCAACTGTGTGCGTGTTAAATGCTGTCGCTTGAGAGCCCACGGGACGAGGCACGTTTGCTGCCTCGGATGCGACATTGCTCCGACGGCGGATGTTGTTTTGAGGGCGCTCGGATTCGACCTGGCTGCCGTGCAAGCGAGCAGAGTACCGGTGAAGCCACTCAGGCCTAGTTGCCCTCGTAACCATGCACCACTGCATGGTGCACTGTGCCACTTCTCACGCCTTGCCGGCGCTGGATTGGGAACTTGCCGGTGATCACTTGCGTGCTGGCGCAGCCCATGTTCTCCTTCAGCGTGCAGGCCGCTTGCGTGCCGGACTCAGACTGAGCCGCGCTCAGCCATACAACCTGAGTAGCCCAGCGACTGACCCAGCTTGCCACATCACAGGCACGCAGCATCCGTGCCTTCCTCTCGCGGCTGTTAGAGATGCTAAAGCGCTGCAGGGTAATGGGCTAGTGGTGATGCCAGTAAGTGCTGGTGGTCTGCGGACGGTGGGCTTGGGCTGGGATAGATGTGCTCCATGTTAGGTGTACGACCGTTGGGCTGTGGTGCAGCGCTGCCGGCCTGCCAAACATGCAACGTCTGGAATCCTTTAACTCCTTAATACCCACCTCGACTGGATTTCAGCATGGCGTGGGTTGCCACGGCCTCTGCAACTGGATATTGGGTCAACTGGGTACTGGCCCGCCAAGCATGCGCGTTACCAACCTCCAGAGCCCTCCAAAGCCCTCCCTCCAGAGCCCTCAGAGCCCTCCAAAGCCCTCCCTCCAGAGCCCTCAGAGCCCTCCAAAGCCCTCCCTCCAGAGCCCTCCAAAGCCCTCCCTCCAGAGCCCTCCAAAGCCCTCCCTCCAAAGCCCTCCCTCCAGAGCCCTCAGAGCCCTCCAAAGCCCTCCCTCCAGAGCCCTCCAAAGCCCTCCCTCCAGAGCCCTCAGAGCCCTCCAAAGCCCTCCAGATAGAGCCCTCAGAGCCCTCCAGAGCCCTCCAGATAGAGCCCTTCAGAGGCTGAGCGGCTCTGAAACAGCCTGTGTCAGGAATGGCAGACCACCCTCAATGCAGTTGGAAGCCACTTTCTAGCTCTGGCTGCCTGCGAAGCAGCTGCAGGAGGAACTGAGCCCCGATGCCTACTGTAAATTCAGGAAGGACTAGAAGGACGTGACATAAATTCTCAACTCTGGGCACGCACACACGCAAGCATGGCGACAGGTCAGAATATTGCAGCGCTCGGCTGCTTTGTGCAAGGGGCTGACGCAACGTGTGTGTGGTTACAAGGTGGTGCGCACTTCTCGTGCCTTGCTTCCTGCCTCGTGAAAACCGAAGGCCCGGGCCGGGGTTACCCTTATGACGCCTAACTAACTTCGGTTGTTCAGCTCTCTTGGCCGGCCCTCGCAAGGGGCACATTCCTGCTCCTAAGCAACGGGCGTGCAGCTGGATCTGGATGGATCGGCTCGACTATTACACGAACCAGCTGGTTGCCGCCTCGCAGTCGCTGACCCTTCCAGCCAGGATCCGCATCACTACGTCAGCCGACGGGGCCTTCAACTTTGGGTTTGGCAATGTCTACCTGCGCCAGGTGATCCTCACGTCTCCGACTGTCGCAACCTTGGTGTTTGGGCAACCTGACTGACACCCCAACACCGCAAACACAGCATTCCAGACTGTTGCACTGCAGAACGGATACACCACCAACCAGTACATGCTGGAGTGCCGAGCATGTTCATGACTCCTGACAACCAGTGGGCAGTACTGCAGCTGCCCTGCCCATCTTCGGATGAGTCCTACTTTGATAACTTTCCGTTCCGCCAGCGCATTGGCGACAGTGGACTTACCGAGACGAATTCGCAGACCCAAACCCCATTGACCGCCAGCTCTACCCGCACTTCAAGACGCGCGCGGGGGCGTGGCAGTAACTCCGGGAGTTAGGGCGCGACCGATCAGTACAGCGCGCGCTGGGGTCCGAACTTTACGCTCAGTGAAAAGGAACCAATTGTAAGTTATTTTAGCGATCGCTTCATTGGCGGTATCGCGACTATTCACGTCATATTTCGGCTGAGTTTCGGCTGGGTTTCTGCTGAGTTTTCTCCGAGTTTCGACTGAGTTTCCGTTGAGTTTCTGTGCCCCACTCCTTTCGCCCCACAGCGCGGCGCCGCCCCCCGCCGCGCCAGTTTCAGTGCAGCCCGTTTGAGTCCCCGTGTGCAGCACTCGCGGCGGGGGCCGGTTGGCGCCGCCCCCCGCCACGCCGGTCAGCAGCAGTCGCGTGTGCCCCGTGTGCGTGCAGCCCAGATGCAGCCTATGGGAAGGCGCAGCCCCATGCATCCCAACTGAGTTTACACGCAGCTCACACAAGGCTTCCCAACCAGTGCCGCGCACAACTGTGAGCCCCCAGCCGCGCCGCGCGCCAACAGCCAGCTTCTCAGCTCCCCCACTTTATAAAAACGCCCCCGAATATCAAACGTGCTTCCAGTCGGCCGCGTGCACAGCTACCCGCTCCCAGTCGCGTGCCGTGCCAACCGTCAGCTCACCCTCAGCCCCCTGCGCAGCTACCCTGCTCCCAGTGGCGCGTGCCGCGCCAACCGCCAGCGCAGCTCCCCATGTCACCCGTTAGCAGTTGGGTGCAGTACCGTTGTGGATCCGATCATTTTGGAAGTTCGTTGGGAGTTGGCGCTGTTGCCGCCACGCTGCCGGCGTACACAGTGCTCCTATGCTGCTTCTGTGTGTCTGTGTGTCTGTGTGTCTGTATGTCTGTGTGTCTGTATGTCTGTGTGTCTGTGTGTCTGTGTGTCTGTGTGTCTGTGTGTCTGTGTGTCTGTGTGTCTGTGTGTCTGTGTGTCTGTGTGTCTGTGTGTGTGTGTGTCTGTGTGTGTCTGTGTGTGTCTGTGTGTGTCTGTGTGTGTCTGTGTGTGTCTGTGTGTGTCTGTGTGTGTCTGTGTGTGTCTGTGTGTGCCTGTGTGTGCCTGTGTGTGCCTGTGTGTGTCTGTGTGTGTGCAACGGACCAAACGTAATATCTCGCCCGGCTGAAACGCGTTATTGGTAATATGCTGCATTCTCTATTGCAAGAGAATTGGTAATATGCTGCATTCTCTATTGCAAGGTATCTTGCCTGTAGCCAACAAAAATCGTATGCGCACAAACAACTTTGGCTGCCCATGGTCATATCAACGCCTCTCGTCCTTAAATTTTATCTCAAAAAGGTGCCGTGTATCTCATTATTGAATTCAGAGATGACGGCGTATGATAACTCGAACACCCAGCTTGCGTTACCATTTGCCCGGATACAACAGATGTGTTTTGAAACTCCATGGCCCAAATCACCCGGCACAGCGCGCTGCGAACAGTTTTCACCTATTCTAGGTAATTATTACAATAGGCAACGTCCTTCCGCAACTCCACCTTGGAAGGCAAGCTGACACAGACCACACCAAGTTTGCACGCCGGTACAGCAGGTCGCCAAGTACAAGCAGCCGGGCGCATTTGCAGGATAGCGGTACCACCCACCCGGGAGCTTAATCCTCATGTTGGGCAGCTGGTTCTGTTGTTGTCGAAGGGTCACGTTCATGCCCTTCAACTAGGTATAAACATTTCGGTGGCCGCCTTGCCCATGAACTACTACGCGAAGGCAACTTATCATGCATGAATACCATATGAATAATCCAGGTCAAAAGTTAACCGTATGAATTTGCGTACAGTAACACTACTGCGGTTTGTCAACCGTTTTGCCGTTGGCGCCACGCGACATGCGGACACGCCAAACAAGCACAATTACCACTTGTGTAAAAATTGTATTTACTGTATACAGGACCTCACTCCTCTACCGCGAGTTTTCAGCGCCCGCAGCCTTCCGGCAATCTTCAAGCGTACGGCGCAACAGAGCTTCATGGACAGACGGGCAATAAGCCGCAGTAAACCGCTATAGGTGTAAGCCGATAGAATCTAAGCCGACATAATTATATTTATTTGATAGAATAATGCGAGGCCTGCACGCTGGGCACAATCTTGTGAACCTACTGCACGAATCGTCCCAGGACATCGATAACACCGCTGCCAGCGCCGCAAGGCGATCAATTGGCTTTCATGTCGACATCTTGGTGCTGTGGCATGCTGCTGGCGCTCCTGGCGTCGCATGGTAAGCATGGCTTGGTTGTGTCCCTAGGATTCTGCTGAGATGCCTCCGCCTGTAGTCTGCGTCGGCCATAAGGAGCTTGTTTGCGCTTATCTCCAACGCATATGTATGATCTTATTTGTAGCTGTATTGCTGATTGCTCATTATGTCAGCTGTCTTTCATAAGGCAGCGGCCTGCATGCGAAGTATGGTGAGGCTACCGCTACCGCCTTGTATCCTATAATATTTGTGGCCTTTCTTCTTGCCTGCAGTGTCTATGACAACATGCCTACGCTTCTTGACTGAACCTGTACAGCTGAATAATCAACATGAGCCGAGCGCGGATGACGACTGTCTAGCCGCGCTGTTGAGCTATATCACTAACCAAGAAAGAACCAAGGATTCAAATACATTTGACATTTTAGATAGGAAAGACACAGTCATCCGGCGACGCTGCAACCTTGAGTTACATCCTCCGACACCGGGTTACGGGCCTGGTTACGGAACCGGTTACGGGCCCCCGCGGACGCCACCTGCTTACGGTCCGTCACCTGTCCCATCCACACAGCCTCCAACCTTGCCGCCTGCCTACCCATCTCCGTCAACACCATCACTGTCCCCCTCGCCCACGCCATCGCTGTCCCCGTCAACCTCAATTCCTCCCTCGCCCTCGTCCTCGCCCTCGCCGTCCCTTCCACCCTCGTCTTCTCCCACGCCCACGCCATCGCCGTCCCCGTCACCCTCAACCCCTCCCTTGACCACGCCATCGCCTTCTCCTTCACCCTCGACACCTTCGCCCACGCCGTCGCAGCCCCCGTCGCCCTCAACATCTCCCTCCTTCACGCCTTCGTCGTCCCCATCGCCCACACCTTTGCCGTCCCCATCACCCTCGACCCTTCCCTCGCCAACGCCATCGCCATCACCGTCCCCTTCACCCTCGACCCCTCCCTCGCCAACGCTCACCCCATCGCCATCCCCGATTCCTTTCTCGCCAACGCCATCACCGACCTTCCCAACGTCAACCTCTCCTTCGCCCACACCTTCGCCAGTGCCGTCCACTTCACCCTCAACCCCTCCCTCGCCCACGCCATCACCATTGCCGTCCCCTTCACCCTCGACCCCTCCCTCGCCCACGCTCACCCCATCGCCATCCCCGATCCCTTCCTCTCCCACGCCATCACCCACCTTCCCAACGTCAACCTCTCCTTCGCCCACGCCTTCGCCATTGCCGTCCACTTCACCCTCAACCCCTCCCTCGCCCACGCCATCACCATTACCGTCCCCTTCACCCTCGACCCCTCCCTCGCCCACGCTCACCCCATCGCCATCCCCGATCCCTTCCTCTCCCACGCCATCACCCACCTTACCAACGTCAACCTCTCCTTCGCCCACGCCTTCGCCAGTGCCACCCACTTCACCCTCGACCCCTCCCTCGCCCACGCCATCGCCATTGCCGTCCCCTTCACCCTCGACCCCTCCCTCGCCCACGCTCACCCCATCGCCATCCCCGATTCCTTTCTCGCCAACGCCATCACCGACCTTACCAACGTCAACCTCTCCTTCGCCCACACCTTCGCCAGTGCCACCACTTCACCCTCACCCTTCCCTCCCCACGCCTCGCCATCACCTCACCTCACCCCTCCCTCGCCCACGCCATCACCATTACCGTCCCCTTCACCCTCGACCCCTCCCTCGCCCACGCTCACCCCATCGCCATCCCCGATCCCTTCCTCGCCCACGCCATCACCCACCTTCCCAACGTCAACCTCTCCTTCGCCCACGCCTTCGCCATTGCCACAACCCTCGCTCCACTTCACCCTCAACCCCTCCCTCGCCCACGCCATCACCATTGCCGTCCCCTTCACCCTCGACCCCTCCCTCGCCCACGCTCACCCCATCGCCATCCCCGATCCCTTCCTCGCCCACGCCATCACCGACCTTCCCAACGTCAACCTCTCCTTCGCCGTCGTCGTCACCGTCAAGCCCTCCCGCGCCCACGCCATCGCAGTTCTCGTCCCCGTCAGCCTCGACCTCTCCCTCGCCCACGTCATCGCCATCACCGTGGCCCTCGACCCCTCCGTCGCCCACGCCATCACCATTGCCCTCCCCTTCAAATTCTATCCCACCGACGCCATTGCCAACTCCTTCACCCTCAGCCTTTCCCTCGCCATCGCCCACGCCGTATCCGTACCCGTCACCCTCGATTGCTCCCGCGCCTACGCCGTCTCCTTCGCCTCCAACCTCTCCCTCGCCCACGCCATCGCCAACTCCTTCACCCTCAACTTTTCCTTCACCCACGCCATCGCCCACGCCGTATCCGTACCCGTCACCCTCGATTTCTCCTTCGCCGACGCCGTCTCCTTCCCCTTCGCCTCGAACCTCTCCTTCGCCCACACCGACACCGTCCCCTTCACCCTCAACGTCTCCCTCACCCTCAACGTCTCCCTCGCCCACGCCGTCTCCTTCGCCATCACCCTCAATGCCTCCCTCGCCCAAGCCCTCGCCATCTCCGTCCCCTTCACCCTCAACATCTCCTTCGCCGACACCATCACCTACTCCATCTCCGTCCCAGGCCGCAGGTCTCAACCCACCCTACTGTGCAGTAGGTACCTGTTTGTATGCGAATGCTACTACAGGAAGCACACTGGACGCATTCATTCTGACGGCGGCGAATTGGCAGAGCAGCTCGGTAATGTACCCAAGCCTGGCCTACGAGTTTGGGGTCATTGAAACCCCTGGTGCTGCCGCAGTGCGGAAACCCCAGCAGCCGTATTCGGAAGTGACATCAGCAACAATTTCGGCCCTTCCTGTCGGGGCCACAAGCCTGTATGTTTGCGTCCGCGCTCTGAAGAGTTCTTCGACTGTAATTGGCCCCCGGACCTGCGCATCAATTACCATGCAAATTACTGCCAAGGTGAGAATCGTCCTGGTAGCTGCGTTTGTGTTGCGTGTTTGAATCTTTGCATAGTCTCCTATTTGTAACCTGCACTTGATGGCTGTAAGCCGGAAGCCGCATGTAAGCTGTTCGTCCCTTATGTGCGACGAACAGGTACGTAGTACGGTTGCGTGATGGGCCGCGTTTTGCCCTCTGGCCTGGAGAGTGTCTAGTTTTGCACCGGTAGTCCTTTTCGGATGTATTCCGCACAATCACGCAGAGGAAGGTTAACTAAATGTCGGAGTTGGAATGCGGAATCCTCAGCAGTTGCTGTACGTGTGTTTTTACGTTCCTGATGCTTCTGGTCCGCAGGTATCTGCTGCACAAATTTCAAGCGAGCTCGCAGCGATTCAAGCTGAAATCGCCTCATCAACTGTAGTGAATACGTCAAGAACACTTGCAGCGGCTATGCGCTTGGCCGCTATCGCTTCGTCTTCGAATTCGTCCTCGACTACTAATTCGACAGCCAACCTGGCGTCGCAGCTCCTTTCGGAGTTGGTGGCCTCGAACGTTAACGACACGTCGAGCTCATCATCCTTGCTTACTGTCTTTACTGGAGTCAGTACGTTATGGTCTATGGCCAGCAGTGAAGGCCGTGCGGCTGCCTTAAGTGGCGTTAACATGTTGGCGCAGAAGCTTTCATCACAGTCCCTCACGGTTGAATACGCTCAGCCCATTGCCCAATTCTATGATAACATGGTTGCGAGCGCCTCGGGTGTTGTTAAAGCGTTTACGGCCTCTGCGGGCAATGGTAGCAATGGTATTGCTGCACAGGCACTGGCTGCGCACGATGTGCTTGTCTCCATTATCCAAGGGACTCAATTGCTGACCCGTGGGCTGTCAAACAGCGCCACCTGCAACGGCACTGCAGTGCGTGTCATCACGTCTCGCATCGCAGCCTCAGCGCAGTGTATGACAGCAGCACTCGCTGCTTCCGGCGGCACGAGCACATCGCTTCCGACACCTGGCTCTGCAGCTGTACGTCGCCGTGCGCTTCTGGCGTCCGATTATGGGGACGCCTCAGCTGTATCCTTGTTGATCAATCCGGCCGCTGGTCCGCTCTGTGCAGCTGACGCGGCGTGCGCTACCTCGGGGTTTGATATCACAATTACCGTCTTGGCCGACACCACACTTCTTATAATGTCGTTGGGCGGTTCCGCTGTTCCACTGACCGCAAAGCTCTCCGACTACCAATCGGGCGGTGCAGTAAGCATCGTTTCGCCGATTGTCCGCGTCGCTGCACCGGGGTTGCCAACGGCCGCGATTGGGTTGTCAGGCCTGACGACCATGAGGCTACCTTTAAACTTGACGGCTGCTGCTGCGAAGGGTGCCAAGGCACGGCGCGCCGTGATCCGTCTCCAGGTATGCAACAGAGAAAGGGGCGGTGCCGTGTGCAGGGTAACGCACTGATGTCACCAATGTTTTGCCCTTGGTGTGCTACAGGACATTGGTGCAGCCCCTGCTGATATGCCAGGCGGAATTAGCGCAACAATCTCCACGACTACTACGTTAAATCCTGAGGCCGTCGGCAATGCTGGAAACGTGGTTTCCGCCGTCAGTAATTCCTTAGGAGATTTCATTGTGGTGCAGTACGACAGCACAGCTTCCACTAGCTCGGGGCCGTCGTCAGCTCTACCTGAGATGGGAAATACTACACGTACTACTACAGGCGCCGCTGGCCCTGCAATGCGGCCGTTGCCATTGCTAATTTCTACACTGGTGACCCTGATATCCCTGGTCTTTGCTTTCGCACTGTGACGTCGACCACCAGATGTGGAACGCGGCTTCTTTCAAATAAAGGGTGCGTGCTACCCAGCGCGTTGGATCTCTAGTTGGACTTAAATATCATTTTGTATTCAGCAAGTAGAGTACGGAATTGTGAATAAATACAACGCCCTTGTGCGGATCGCGATGGGACTGTTGCAGAGCGGCGATGTGTGTGACAATAGCACCCTCACGCAGGCAAGATCAATTCATAGCATAAAGCATATAGGACGTCGGTAGGCTCATCTAGCACTGATAGTTTGATGCACTGTGTATTTAGCCGCTGAGGTGGTCTCGGAAGCTGCGTACTGCTGTGTTGTGCATTATTCATTCCCGTCTTGTTTATAACGTTTACGCTGATTCGCGCACGTATTTATGCCGGTTTATTAAAGTATAGCACATAGCGTCAGCTGCCCTTCTGTACTGCGCTGCCGCAAGGCACGCGCTCGGCTTTAGGCTACGTTGAGCAAACGATATTTTAGACCTGATTAGCAAATCCCAAATGCTGATCGTGATATGTTTAGGGGTGTGTATGATAGGCGCGGACTCTTTCCCCTTCATTGAGCGGCGAGAACCGGCGTAGTCCTCGGAATTAATTATGGAGTGTCGTTACGATATAATGAATGTGCATAAGGCCAATTCTCTTATAATGCATGTATGTTTCGGTCTTTCCTTTTTGCCTACCTTCGTTTCCGTGGGGTTCTGGCTCATCGGGGCCACATGAGCCCAAAAGCTATTATAAATGTTCGTGATAGCTGTTAGTTTGCGTTACGTGCGTTACCGCGATGGCTTAGGTTGTCATGTGCTAATGGGTTGTTCCTGGCCGCTGCAAGAGCAAGACGAATGGTGCTCGAAGAGAGTGAGCATATTGGGACGGAGAGTGCGAAATATGGTGTTCTGGAAATAGTCTGTGCGCTTCTGTAAGTACAAATGAGCGGCCCTGTCCTCGCACGTTCCTTACTAACACACGACTTAAACCGTGTGTGACTTGAAGCTTCACGTTTCGGATTCGGATTTGCACTTTCTGTTCCTTCTTTGGTCGCTGAAATTGTTCCGATTATTGGAAATAATCGACACTCATATACCAGGGAATGGTAACCACAGTAATAGGACCCGGCTGGGGTCCGGCGCTTTGTTGGTTTTAACAGGTTATGAGCCCCGCGCCGCCGCAGCAAGCGAGCGAGCGTTTTGCTTAAAGTACTATGTCCGAACTTGCTGGCTTAGCAATTCTCTGGCTTGAGATAGGACAAGTATGGGGAAGGATTATGGTATCGAGCGCCTCGATACCATATTTTCCTCGATAATATTTTCGCACACGGACGGCCATGAAGTACTGCCTGGCCGGCAAAGACCTATGTAACGAAGCGGAAGACCTGCCGAGCGCCGTCGTCGAGAAATCCATGAAGGCGAAATCCCAAATGGTGAAATACACGGTGCCACACTTCCATAGACTGATCGACCAAGAAGCCGACTCTGTCGCAGCCTGGGATGCAATCCGTGCTGAATGCGTATCAGAGATAGGAGCCAACATCCTGTTCATCAAACAAAAATTCAGCAATCTCAAGCAACGGACAGGCCAGTCCGTTGTTGACTACTTTGAGGAAGCAGAGGATCTGCGCGAGAAGATGATTGCAGTGGGCTCGAATACTGACGACAGCCAATTCGCCCTGGCCATCTTGGGCGGCTTGCACAAGAGGTTCCAAATGCAGCAGATGCTTTTTGCTGCCAAGTCACCGAGCGACCTTAAGCTTTCAGAAATGAAGGCCGCTCTACTCCTGGCGGAGCGGATGCAAGGTGATACTAACGCAGAGTGGGCCCAGGTCGAGGCCCTGGCGTTCAACAACCGGGGCAGTGCGGGAGGCCACCGTGACATCGGTGGCGACTGCCGTGGTGGAGCGGGTAGAGGTCAGGGAAACGCCAACGTCGGGGCGAGTACCAGCTCCGCCGGGCCTGAGGTTTCGATCAACCCCTACGCAAGCCATAAGTGCCACAAATGTGGCGTTCTCGGGCACATCAAGTCCCAGTGCCCGCTCATCACAAGGGCCAATTACAAGGGCAACAATCGACGCAGCAAGCAGCTGGTAATGGCCCTAACCACCTCCACCACCTCCGAAGCCGAGGAATTCAAGTCAACAGCTGAGAAGTCGCTCGCCAAGCTGGCGTGGAAAATGGACTCGGCAGCGGCCGTCCATGTCACGGACGACCGGTCCGACTTCAACGACTACAGACCGCTCACGGATGGCGTCGTCCTAGAAGGTGTGGCGGGCGCGGTTTGCAAGACGGTTGGAGTGGGTACCGTTCTGCTAGAAGCCGAAGGAGAGAAGGGCAAGATCAATATAACCCTAAAGAATGTGTATCATGCGCCGGGATTAGGTCACAAACTTATTTCGGTAGGCGAACTAGGCCTGAGGGGTTACCACGTGGACTTTCGTGGACCGGCTGCTGTGATTAGGCAGCCGAAACGTCTTGTCGGCCGAGGCCCAGGTAGCCATCTAATATTTTCTCCGCGAATAAGGAGATACACGAGCCTGCAGTGGGAGTACGGGGAGCAAATCCCGTGTGTGCGGGTGGGCACCATTACTACCTAAAGGCGACCGCGGTTGGGCCAGGGGGAGTGCGTTCAAACCCTGGCGATCTTGTCTGAATCTGCGGGGCTTTGGCACCGTCGGTTCGGACACATAGGTTACGGTAGTCTAGAGAAGCTCATGTCCGATGAAATGGTCACTGGCATGGGCCTGAGCGCGGCTGAAGTCCGGGAGAAGGTGAAGGATAAGAGTAGACCCAATAGGGCAAGAAGCTGCTAGCAGTTCAGTCGGATCGCGGTGAGGAGTACTTGAAAAAGGCTCTAGGACAGTACCGTAAGGGTAAGGGGGTCCAGCACGACACGTCCGTGCCGTACACTCCTGAGCAAAATGGCCGCGCTGTGAGACTGAACCGCACACTCCTGGAGAAGACCCGCGCGATGTCGCAAGACTCAGGATTGCCGTATGAATTATGGGCCGAAGCTATTACCACCGCATGTGCCCTGCATAATTGCTCGCCTGTGTCGGGCAAGCAGATAAAGCCCTTTGAAGTTTTCCACCGTGTGAAACCAGATGTCTCTGATTTGCGCGTGTTTGGGTGTACTGCGTGGGTGCATGTCGAGAGAAGGCACAGCAATAAGCTCGATGCCACTAGCCAGAAGGGCGTGTTTGTGGGCTAAGAACGCAACTGCAAAGGGTACGGTGGGGGCCGGGCCGGGCAACAAGTGCTGAAGGCTGTCTGAAATAGATTATATTGTACAAACGCATATTTACTCAGTTATCCCCTAAGCAGATATTTACATATTGCATATTTCCTTGGAGAGGTAGGATTCAAGGCAACCGTAGACGATGAGTCCAGATCGCAAGATTAACGAAAACGGTCGTCACAGCCAGCATCAACCTTAACCTTCAGCTTCCGGAAAAGCTGGATTACTTGCGTGCGCATTACGCATCCAAAAAAGTTACGCCCCGAGTCGGCTGGGCACGTACGGTCATAAAATCCATATTCGGCTCATTTATTCATTTCGAGGGCGAAACCAGCGAGAAGGACATGTACCACCAAATGGCGATCTACACTAATAGATATCTACACGTTATCAACCGTACTATTAATTCTTAACGAAGCAAATAACGAAGCACCAGACACCTACAAAAACGAAATGTGCCGACTAAAGCTGTTCTTAACTCAGAGTCGGGTTATTAAATGTAATCCACTCGCTATGTACCGCTCGCGTTCAGAAATCGGCTACACTCCTTCCATTAATCACCCAACATTATATTACGAGGTATATTGTGATAACCTGAGCAGCGCGCTCGAATTGAATGAAGCTGCATCGCAGTCACATCACGTCAATTTCATTTCCTCACATGAATCCGGCCAGTTAACACATCCAAGCCAGCGGCGATCAATGCCTTGTATCTGTCAGTCAAGCTAAATGAATTGATTTACGGTTGACCGCCGACTCATGCCGCACCGTGATGGGCTGTCATACTAATTCTTTGCACATACTGGAAAACCCGCCCACGCCACTAACATCGCTGCAGGAATGCGTTAATTGACTGCATCGCAACGCTCACCAACGCGGCAGTCAGCAACAATGACGGTTGCAGTCCATCACCAGCTGTGTTCCCGACTTTTGACACTTCCGGTAGGGACGGGGATGCCCCCGACGTTGGATTAGCCGTGTTTTCGTACTGCAGCACGACGAAATCCCCCAAGAAGTTGCTATAGCCAGAGATTGTGACTACATTATTGATCATCTCGGACTGTAAGGTTTGGGTCCTCGAAGACCCATCATAAATCCCCGAAGTGGGATCAGATGCAGCTGCGCCCGAATCCTGCAGCAACATTAAATGGGATGAATGCAACGTAAAAAATGCGACGGAAGGCAGCCCACCGACAGCACGATGCGCATACCTGAAGCCGAACTAGGGCTCGCTTCGTATTGGCGCCTCTTGCCATGATAGCCGTTGCGTTCAGCATGAGGTCGAATGTCACTAGTTTCGACAGGCCATAAGCAGAAACCGGTAATCCGGGCGCAGAGAATCGCACGATGGGCGATACGATTTCGACCAGCCCACCCATGCGATAGTCGGAGACGTTCATAGCCAGCGGTACAGCAGATCCTCCCAGCGCCGTCATGAGCAGGGAAAGGTCGGTGAAGATCGAAACGGCTAGGCGTAAACCCGTGGACGCGCATGCCGCATCAGCAACACAAAGCGGGGCAACGGCTGGATCAAGGACTACAGTGACAGGTGGCGTGGCACTCAATTCCGAGGCAAGCATTCGTCGGTGCCTTGCAACTGCCGTGCCCAATGCTGCTACGGACATGGCAGAGCCGGCGGCGGCTGCAAGCTCCATGTTCATACACCCCGCAGCAATTGATAGGCGAGATGTGGCGAGTCGTGTACTGCTGCCGTCACATTTAGCGCTGTTCAACAACCCACGGACCAGTGAATCTGTACCATGGATCACCGATGCCAGCATACCACGTGCCGCCTTGGAACGTGCAGCTACGCTGCCATTGCCGCCGCTTGAGGACGCTGCTACAATATCCATGGCACCGGCAATTATTACGTCGAAGAACCCTGCAATAGGCTGCGCATCTTCAAAGGCAAGCGGCTGCAAAGCAAGCTTCTCCGCCAAACTATTGACACCATCCACAGCAGCCGCACGGCCGTCGGCGCGCGCCAGTAACCACAGCGTGCTGATGCCACCAAACACTGTCAGCACGGACGACATGCTCGATGTTTTGTTACCAGCAGATGCCACGAGCTCTGCAAGTAGTGTAGAGGCCAAGGTGCCAGTCGAATCTGCGAAAGAGCCGTTTGCAGACGCCGCAATAGCACCTAGGCGCCGTGCCATTGTAAGCACTACGGAAGTCGGCACTGTGGATGCGGACAGCACGATGCTTTGGATCGCCGACATCTCCCTTGCGATCTGAGCAGCCGAAACCTGCATGCAAGGATGTATTATTTTATTGCGGAAGTAGTTCAAACCGGGGCTCTGCAGCAGTGAAGAGACGTTTTACTTTGCCGACGACGGCCTACGTTGTCATGCGTAGTTTATATTCGCACACCAGCCTTATGCTCGGCTACACCGAAGTAGCAACGCACGAGGTGTTTTGCAACAAGTGGCACACATGAAATGTTCAACAACCACTGGGCCAAATTTGTCGCATGCACACTGGTTACATGAGACAAGTACGAGCCGAGCCATCTTCACCTGTGCGCTGACTTGCACCTTGACCGATGCGCATGCCCGTGGCCCCGTAGCCGTTAGAAGATCCCTCGCAGCACGCACGCAGACGTACAGGCTGTTAGTGCCTTCCGGTAGTCCAGCAAATATCACTATCGTTGCATCTGCGTACGGCTGCCATGGCTTTCGTACTATGCCACCGCCAGAGTTGACAAGCAACCCAAACTCATAGAGCAACTCTGGATAAACTGCGGATCTACTTTGCCAACCAGGAGCTAAGAGCTCAAAGGCATCAAGTGTTGTTCCGCTGGTGGCATTGACGAGCAGGCAGGCCGCGGGAGCCAATACACAGTAAGGCGGGCTAAGGCTGTCAGGCTGAGGTGGGGCTGGGCCTGGGGATGTCGTGGTCGATGTGGGCAATGATGCCAAGGGCGACGGTGGCGATGGAGGAGGAGAAGTCTCGGGCTGCTGTAGCGGTTGCTGTGCAGTCGGCGGCTCAGATTCACGTATGGGTTGCCCTCGGGACGGCATGGTCAGCGTGGGCGGTGATGCCCAGGGTGATGGCGGTGGCGGTGAAGGAGAGGTCTCGGGCTGCTGTGATGGGCGCGGTGCAGTCGGCGCCTCAGACTCGCGTGGACCGGGGCCCGGGAAGGGCGATGGCGGCTGTGGTGAAGGAGGGGCGCCGGGCTGCTGTGACGGTTGCGGTGCAGTCGGCGGCTCAGAATCCGGCAGTTGGGTGCTTGGCTGCATGCAAATTGGCGGTGGCCAGTTGTCCAACACTCATGGTTGTTAATGATTTCCGATCGCACGGGTAAGGACTCGATGGCAGGGTAGCAGCTGAACGGAACAGCCCAGTGGTAGCTTAAATATTTACTTACCTCTACTGGCATTGGGAATGGCGGGCTCCTATCCCCATATGGAGGAGGTGGCAAGGGAATAGACGGCAAAGGCGACTCAACGTAGGGCGGACTTGGAGGCTGCGGCATTTGCGGCCCGTAGACTGGTGCTGGCCCTTCGGCAACACGCTTGCTGTGCCAGACCTCCCAGTAAGCATTAGGATTATCCTTCTGCTGTACTGTTTGCTGGTTTTGCGGCGCTCTCTTGCCCAACACGAACAGCACGGAATCGTCCTCCGCATCGAAGTCGTGCAATGCCTCTTGTGCGGAGTCTTGCATGAGACGCAAGCTAATTGTCACAGACACTGCACACAGAAATTGTCAACCATTTCAGGAGGCAAGGACTCGAGTTCTCGACTTGCAACCCATTCGAGCGAAATGCGATCGGCCAGACGGTAACTTGGACTGAGCACCGATCCATGCATGATTCATCTTAAATTCAGTAATCAAGAAATTACAGTCAAATGAATCAAGTCCAGCCAGATTCCCGCTTGCCACCGTGCAGTAAAGGTACAAATCAGCTATAGTAAGTGACCACCGCCAAAACTTACCGTTGTTGGCGAAGACCGCCAGAAATATGCCGAAGCACAAGAATTTCGACATGTTTGGCGATAAGCAGCGTACACCGATTTTGACAGCGATTTAATAAAGCCGATCACAGAGCTTGCCGCAGGGTTGACAGAACGGCTTCAAAGGATTAACTAATAAATTATAATATGACGCTTCGACGTTAATTATATTCATGTTTTGGGGCGATATTTACCGATCTTATGGCCAACTGCTCGTAGAGCCCTGTTGCGCCGTACACCTGAAGCCTGCCGGAAGGCTGCGGAGAAAGGTTTATGCTTAAGATCTTCAAAATATGGATATTAATACAAAGATATATGCATTACTGTGGTGAACTGGTTGGGGTCGGTCAGGTTGTCCCTTCGTGAGCTGTCGCTCGGAGGCGGAACAGTTGATGACTGCTTCCATGGGGACTGTTTGACCCTAATATCAGATCGTGAGGTTTAACGGCACACGTGAATTAGGTGACAAGCTAACTGCAAAAATGTAGACGTAGCTACTCCTTGCTAGAAGATTGGTTTATGTCGTGTATGTCTCCTGTTGCAACTTGCACTGTGTACTATCTTCCCTGTAACAAGAACCCTGCGCCGCGAAAGGCTCCCGCAGAAAGGCTCCCGTCTGCTTGGGAACTTGCCAGAAAATCTTCGTGCGCTGACGCCCGTGGAGATTCGGGCAATGCTTTATCTCTGCATGTCTCTCAAAGCCAGAAAGGGGTTTGCCGTAGCTACTTGATATGCTGCGAAGTCGGTTGAGCAACATCCGCACCCTGCACGCTTCCATGTCGACGTATGGGACACATGGCCGCTATATAAGATCATCACGCTGCGTCTCACAGCTCTCGCAGCTCTTTCCATCTGGTAGCACACAGAACCAAAACCTCAGAAAGAAACCGGAAACAAAAAGCGCACGCATGACTGAAAAACAAACGTCCGCTAAGCCGCCCATCTCCCAAACAAGTAGTGTGCCAATTTTCGCGAAACCAGGAAAGGGCACCTTGACATCCGCACAGGCCGGTTGATTGAGCACACGGGAAAGGTGAATGGCGTGGGTCTGCCAGATGCCGTCGACCTGCATAAAGGCATGACACATTTGTGTGTGTGTGTGTGTGTGTGTGTGTGTGTGTGTGTTGTTGGGGGTTCGTGACCCCATATCTGTAAAACTACCCATACGAGCGAAAGGCGCAAGGGCAATGCCTAAACGCCTAAAAGCCACGGAGAAAAGGAAACACTGCACTATCAGCCCAGACTAGCGCCCAAAGGGGATAACTGAGTTGCGGTGAGCCCCCACCATCCTACATCGTATGCTCCAACATCCTCGCCAGACGTGCTGGCTCCCATTTCCAACATGCTCTTTTGATGATCGAATCCCTCTTTCGCACGAATATCATTACAGGCTGGGCATTCCAATAACACGTGTTTTTCATCCTCGACTTGGCAATTGGTGCCACAATGGGGACAATGGTACTTGCCGCTTCGTGCTCTGTTTGCCTTCAAAGCCCAGCAACATAAACGAAATTGCATTAGCTTACGATGTGCTAAACGCGGAATGAACTTTAGCATCTGTTGGCCACATAACGGCTGCGGCTCCCGAAAAGGGCAGCCCCATCCAGTGCTTATACTTTGCCATCTGTACTCACGGTTGCTTCCCGTCTGATGGGTACTCTTCTGGCAAGACAGTCAGACGCGCATGGTCCCAGCCTCTCATCAAACGCTCCCTTAGTGCCGTTATCACCGCTCCTTCAGGGAGAGGCCTACTCAGCAACCAGGCAAACCCCTCCTTTACCCCCACGACTTCTTGCGGTATTCCGCTCAAATATTGCACTCCAAGAGGAAAACAGTCATATCATTGAGGTTCCCCAACCCTCACATTCCGGGTTGGTCAGAGAATCGGTTATTTCCTGCCGTAAAACGGCATGAGCAATGGACCCCACTTGCTTTTGAAGGCGGTTCCAGAAACGGAGGATCTGTTTCACCATGTAATACTGTAGAGGGAGCCTCAGCCATTTAGAGTGAGGCCCAAAATGCCTCAGGACTGCACGACATGCTTGGCGGCGATTTGGTGAACATAATATTACGTATGGATATATTTTGGTGAACATAATATTTCGTGTAAATATCCAACCTTTGCAAGCAGCACATATGGGCCAGAATACACGCGGAATCGTCGTTAAAGCGATGGTTTTGTTTAGTGTAACTCGCACGAACGATGGATTTCGAAGATGCTCTCCGAATGATACGCGGAGCGCACCTCTCCAGCTCTCCTACCAGCCAGTTGTAGCCATTTCAGTGCCTGCAGTCGTACTGGGCACCGCGGGCACCTGCGTATTGCTCCGAGGAGGCAAGAGGGCGGCATCGTCCCGGGGTCCGGCTGGGGCTGCGGCGATGAGGGCGGAGGTGTTTGCAACGGGGGCAGCGGCGTCCGCAGCTGGGCGGCCGAGGCCGCTGTCGGGACTACGATGGGGGGCCTGGGGAGGGGGGCCCTGCTGTCGCGTCGCCGGACGCATGGACATGCAGCCAGATTATGGATGCAGCTCCTGTTGTCCGTGAGCTGCTCGTGCAGTCTTAGTTTCCTAAGCAGAACTGAATGTTATGAAGCCGGGGAAGAACCTTTAGCCCATTGAGTTGACCAAACGCTACTATTCGCGCAACTATGCTGTATTACCGCGTGATATGTTACCGGTACTGACTTCTCTGGTGCTTCCCTATCGTCCATAAGCCAATGACTGCCCGAGCATGGTCGGAGCGTCAGGCTATGGTGTAAAACCAGTGGCAACTAGTGGCAAAGTAACATGTGTGTGACTTCACGATGTAGCGCAGTAACTTGTATCGAAGGTTTGACGAACGATACCATGGAAAATTGGACATGATGCAAGCGCTGTCGGCTTCAACCACTCGGAACCGATGCCTTCGATCCAATGATGCAATACTTCAATGCTAACTTAATTAAGTATCTTTATTTGTTTCAGCGTTAAGGCTTTGCCGTCGGCTTGAATTACTTGCTTAAATATGGTCCCTATCGTGTCGTTTTTGTCGTGGATACGGCTTCGTTGGTGTCTTTTCGGTGTGACAAGTGCATGGGAATCCGCATGTCTTGATCGGCTCGATGCATCGATATTCGACCGTTCCATGACTATTGGGAAAGCGTTTGTACAACGGCTGTTGCAGCAGTTGACACGTCTAACTTCCTCCTGCAACAATGTCTGCTTTCGGCTGGCTCATCTGTAAGAAATAAACGACCTGCCAGTGACTAACTTCAAAACATTACACAGGACATGATAGCTTCTTTAGTCTGTTGCCTGGCAAACCCTCCATCGCCGGTACTAGTTGACCTTGTACGCGCACGAAAGTTCTTGAGGCAGTTCAGCTGCTGAACCTTGTTCTTTAACCGTATCCTTCATCTCTGCAGCATGCTACGTCACGTTGTAGTCATGTTCGCGCTGGCGTTCCAGCGGCTCGTGTTACCCTGCAAAGGCAATTATCTGTCCGGCGTTGGTGAGAATCTTGCATTTTTGCCGACCTGTCTGCTGGGCTTTATCAAGGCGCCGTGTGCCCACGCCGCGCATAGGGGTCGGCGACATCACGGGGCCTGCCGCCGATGTTAACCTCATGGTGCGTCCATAGGTCAGCGCTGCCAGCGTGAAATGTCCAACGTGGGCCCAACGCGGGATATTTCAAGTCAAGTGAAACAATAACCCTAGGTTTGTTCAGGCCCGACAGCCCCCTCGCACCTCAGCGACTTCGACCCCAGCTCAACGTGCTGGCCCTCGATCCACGTTGATCAACCTTTTCTCCTAACGTTCTTCTTACTTGTATTTACATCCAGTCACATATCCCGTGGCAATATTCAAAACCGTTTACGCCCTACGTTCAGGCGCCACGCACTCCTTAAGACCTCCGCATTCCCCCATTCCCCCCGCCATACCGCCTTGCTCCTCCTATGCCTTGTTCCACTTGCTCCGAAAACCGATCATGCTCCTTGGAAAAAGGGAAGAAGTGGGGCGTCCCTGTACAGGGTCCCCTGGACTAAGACCGGGGGAGGGGGTGGAGGTGGGGAGGGAGATTAAGGACAGGGAGGGAGCCACATGGCGGGCGAGGGTGGGGAGGACATTGGCATGCCTAAAGATTAGCCACATGACCTGTTATATGTTATATAAGAATGTACCCAAAGACAAACTGGATGGTATTTAAAGAGGTCCAACCGCCAAATAGTGCCACACAGCGCTGGAGCTGCATTCCGCTATTAAGGGCTACCAGATGCTGCATTTTTATGAGGCTTACCTGCAATGATTGCAGCTTCAATTATCTCTCCTCTCCTTCAGCTGCTGGTGTTTTCGCCTTACCTCTCGCGTGCCTTACCTTCCGCCTGCTTGCTGGCCCCCACCTGACCTCCACCCCACAACCCTGCTGTACACAGGGCTACGCCAACCCGATGCAGACCGCCCAGGGGGTCCACACCCGCCTGTCCGCCCGGGCCTTCGTGTTTGCAGAGCCGGATAACCCTAGGTCGGGCCGGGTGAGGTCCAGGAGGTCAGACGTGATAACTGCCTGGGGGGTGGGCCCCCGGGGGGGAGGGCGGAGGTTGGAGTCTTCAATCCTGTCTCGTTATGAAATGCGATTTATAACTCCCGTGTGTGCGCCCCTCTCTGCCCCTGCCCTATGAAAAAGATTGGATTCGACGACACACCGGCATACACAACATAACATGCACACAGACGAGCACAGCTCCAAGGTGACCTTGTATTGCCTCCGCACTGCAGGCGCCGGTTTGTGTACGTGTCCATGGATGCCTGCATGGCCTCTCAGCTCGTCACGCTGAGAGTCGTACAGCGGCTCAAGGTGTGATTGGGGAGAAGTCCCGGGGCATGGAGCGAAATGGATGTATGCGCCGGGGCAGGGGCAGGGGCAGCCGCAGGGGCAGATCCAGGGGCAGGGAAGCGGCGCATAAGACCAGACTAGGACTGCCTGGTTATCGCTGATACTTGTGCCAACCCCGCGGTGGAGTCGCGGGCCGCACCCCTGCATTGCGTTCCAGTGCTGTTGCCTTTTTTGGCACTGCCCCTTACGAGACCCTCGTCGTTGTCCCGCTACCCGGGGAACTTGTGGGGCAGGCCCTGTACGGCGAGGACCTGTATGACGACAACAATGTGGCCATCAGCGGCACGCACACACATGCCTCTCCCGCCGGCTTTCTGCAGTACTTGTTGTACGACATAACCAGCTTGGGATTTGTGAAGGCGACGTTCGATGCCATGGTCGACGGCATCGTAACGGTACGCTGTACACAGCCGCCCAACACTGAGCGAGGGAGCATTTCCAAATTACTTGAGGGGTCCGAGGACCGAGGGCGGGCTGGGCCTGCTTTTCGCTCACCTTGGACTGGGTCATACACAGCTCTATTAGGCTCCCCAAGTCGCCTCCTGCTCTTCCTAAGGCCACAATGACGTATACACACAAACTCACACACGCGCGCGCACGGACATCGCCGCTTGCCCTGGCCCCCAAGCTGTTGGGCATTCATACTGCTTGAGCCGCCGTCGATCCGGCAGATTCTTTTGGATGCTGGTGGAGGGTGCGGAACCTGAGCGATTCACTTAGAAGTTGACTAGGGTAACTGGATGAGGGTGCCCCGAAATACCGGGGAAGGCAGGGTTTGCCGGGTCACGGCCGCAGGGTGAAGATATGATCCCCCTGTCCCACACATCATACACGTCACACTGGTGTGGTGCTGCGATGGCGGTCACGTCACGCCACCCTTGACCCCACCGCGTACCCGGGGTGGCCGTCCCAGTGAGTAAACGGAGTGAGTGCCCGGCCAGCTGTCTCCCGACCCCTTCTTCTTCAACAGGCCCCCCATCTCTACCCCACCTTTTGCACATATTGTAGCTCGTTCGTCTGTACCTCTCAAACCCCAACCCGCAGGCCATTCAAGCTGCCCACGAGTCCCTGCGTCCCGCCATTCTAACCCTGGCTAGGGGGGAACTGGAGACTGCCTCCATCAACCGCAGCCCCACAGCATACCTGGCTAATCCGGAGGACGAGAGGGGCAGGTGGGGCTGTTTAGATGTGGGCTTAATGGGGTTATTGCAGGCCAGGTGGAGGGGGAGGTAAGGATGGGGACGGGAGGCGAGGGTGGAGGGGCGGATGGGGTTCGGGGGCTGTGAATGCTGAGCTTTATGTGAAGCATCATGGCTCTTGGTGTTGCCCAAGTCAGCGTTGACCAGGCGTAATTGCCTTGCGTGTTTCGTACGGCAGGTACGACACAGACGTGGACACGGACATGACGCTCTTACGGCTGACGGACGCCGTCAGTGGCGCAGGCCGGGGCGCCTTGTCGTGGTTTGCGGTGCACTGCACCTCCCTCAACAATACCAACCGCCTGGTATCGGGTGACAACAAGGCCGCGGCGCAGCTGGCGATGGAGTGGTGGGCGGCGGAGGCGGAGGCTCGAGCCGCGAGCCTTACAAGTGCTGCTTTGACGGCGGGGCAGTCGCCGCTGCCGTCGCTGCCAAGCGCGGCGGCGGTGTCGGCGGCGGCAGCGGCGGCCGCCTGCAGCGCCGCGCTAGGACTACGGCCCGAACTGACCGGAGAGTGGTTGGGAGTTAGCAGCGGTGGGGGACAGGGGGCGCCTGTATTTCGTGTTCATCGTCAACATCATCAACATCCGCATCGTAGCCCGGTGGCGGGAGCGCAACGGTTACCCGAGGGCCATAAACTCGTCGCTGAGGGTGGTAGCAGCGGTGATCGCGGCGTGGAGGCTGGGCGGCGCAGCGGGAGGACAGCGGCGGCAGAGGGGACGACCGTGGGCAATGGCACGGAGCAGCAGGAAAGAGAGGAGGAGGGGGAGGTGAAGATGACGGGCTTTCTTCGCTTCGAGTCGGATTTTGTTGCTGCAGTGGCTCAGTCCTCAGTGGGTGACACCAGCCCTAACACGGGTGGCGCCTTCTGCTTGGACACGGGTGAGCAGGAGATGGCGAACCCCAACCAAGGCGTGAGCCGGAGGGGCAAATGATGGAAAATGGCTGGGATTTCTGTTCCTTCCTTATGAGACTGAAATGCCCCCCCTGTAGATCAGCTGGCGTGTATGGGTGGGGAAAGGGGAGGAAGAGGTAGGGGCTGGGGAGCGGATGGAGGCTGTGGGGAGCGGACCCCGAGGGGACGGAACCCGGGAGGGTCGGGAGGGAGGCCGCAGAAGTCCGCATGGGGATAACAGACCTGGATCCAGATCTGGATCTATAAGGAAGGGCGCAAGTCTTCTCGGTCGACTATTAAGTCTAAAAAAAATTACTCAAACTCGCCACCCATTGCTGTCCTCCCACCTTCCTCAATCACCTTTGTCCGCTATCGCACACGCACACACGCAACCCACACGTCCTGGAAGAAACCCACATCCCGCAGTAGGGGGTTTCCCCGCTCCCCCCCTCGGAAACCTAGTACTCCGTGAAAGTAGTAGGTTTGCAAGGTTTACCTTTTCCATTCCCTGTACCCCTTAAAACTGCCCTTACCCGCCCCTCCTCCAGGCCTGCCCTGCGACCCCGCCACCAGCACCTGCAACGGCCGCAATGAGCTGTGTCACGGCCGGGGTCCCGCCTGGCCGGACGACCGGGCTTCCGCCGCCGTCATTGGGGGCAAGCAGTTCCTCGGGGCGCGGAGATTGTACGAAGAGGCGGGAGCGGGGCCGAAGGGGGCGGGGGGAACGGGGGCGCAGGTGCGCTTGCGTGTGCGTGTGTATGGGTGTTTTTATGACCTAAGACGCGGGCAAGAACTGACGGGGTTGGCACATGTGTGTGTGTGTGTTGCGGTGAGAGTGATGGGGAATTACGTGGTGGAGGTGGTGGGTGAGAATGTGCCCCGCCCCCTCTCCTACTTCCCAACCAGCCACGTACAACCGGCCGTCCCTGGGTTCCCCTTGTCCCGTACTCCCCTTCCGCAGCTGCTGCAAGGCCCGCTGGACTTCCGGTCCACCTTTCTAGACATGGCCAACATCACTGTGGCGGCCTCCCCCTGGAGCACCCGACCCGGCAGGACGTGTCCACCCGCCATGGGGATGAGCTTCGCAGCGGGGACCACAGACGGCGAGTGGGGAGAGGCGGAGGGAGGGAGGGGGCAGGGGAGGGGGTTAGCTATGGGCGGGATGGGAAAGAGGGTCGCTGCGGCGCACAACATGGCATACATGTTCGCGGTCGAGTGGATGCGTCAACAGAGTCTTGGGGGTTTTAGGGCTTCCCATGCGTTGGTGAGTGCATGGGGGAAGGATAGGAGACACACGCTTACGTGTGTGGGTGTGGGTGTGGGTGTAATGTACCGGCCCTCCACCCCCCCAAGTACTGACCAACACCCACCTGACCACATGAGCTCCGTACGACACACGACACGTAGTACACTGACCGGCGTGCTGTGCTGGTACTTCTTGTATGTCCTATTGCATTTCAGGTGGGTATTTATATATGGAGCATGTTCCCTCCACTTTCCCGCCCACCCTCCTGCCTGCTTGGCGGGTTTGGACATCCAACTGTCAGATGTTGTCACCATGCTGATCTTCATCTTCGCCTTCTTGCCTATGTGTAGGTGTTTCTCCACCTACCCTCCCTCCCCGCCCATCTCCTCGTTCCCCCTTTCCCCCGCCTGGAACACTGCCATGATGTCAACCACACCACCAACACCAATACGAATGAAACCAACAACATCATAACAAGCGCAGCAACACATTAATCTATAACACATATACCATTAACACCACCGACGCCAGTACCACCGCAACGCAGGTCCCGGCGCATTTGACTTCACTCAGGGTGACACGCGGGGGCCGCCCCTGTGGCGCCTCATTCGTGGTCTGGTTCTGCCACCCTCCCGGGAGCAACAGACCTGTCATGCTCCGAAACCCATACTGCTGGATACAGGGCAAATCACAGTGCCGTACCTATGGTGAGTACGAGTACGGATATACGTTTGGCGGGGCCCCGAGGTCGCTCCGGAGTTGGCGACTGAAACGGGAAGTGTAGAGGGGAGGGTAGAAGAGAGGATCGAAGGAGATGGGGGTGGGGCATAGGAAGGGAGGTTCTATTTGCATCAATATCCTCCCTCCCTCCTTCTTGGCCATGCTTAACTGCTTGCTGCAACGGACTCAGGTATAAATCCCTCGGCATCACCCTCACCCCCTCGCTCCACCCTCGCCCTCACTTCCCTCCTCCGCGCATCAGCACCTCCTTCCTTCCTTCGAACTTTGGGCGCAGGCAGTCCATTCAAATGTTTCCTTGCATATGATTCCCCTTTTCCCCCCTTTGTTAGGCAGCCCCGTGTCACCCAGATCTCCCTGTTGCGGCTGGGGCAGCTGGTGATAGCGTGTGTGCCCGGGGAGTTCACCACCATGGCAGGAAGGTGGGGAGGGGAGGGGAGGGGACGGGTACAGGGTCGTACGACTGTCGACGCGAAGTAGGCAACCGACACAGTGGGCAGCATTCCAGTGAAGGATGCACGCACACTAAATACACATACATACATACGTGTATACACACACATACGCAAGTCAATGTTTTTGTGCAAGGGGCCCCCCCCGGGTGCGAAGCGCCTTTCGGGGCCTGAGGCCCCGGGGGTTCACTGCTGTCAGTCCGTCTGTCAGTAAATCAGTCAGTCCGTCAGAAATTCGCATCCTGGAAAAGGCAACTCGAAATTTATAGGTTGGCGTTTATAGAACCGGCTGTTTTATATGCCGCTGCAAGCCTGGCGACAAGCTGCTGGTCGATGGAGGCTAGGAGGCAGCAGCTCCTCTGAATTTGTCGCCAAGGGCCTTTGTTGAGATCCAAACCGGTAGTCGGTAGCTGGTCGCTTCGGTACCTGACCGGTAGGGTAACCGATATAACGAGGTAACGACCCAGTAACGGTTGAGGTCACCAACCGATAAGGAGTACCGGTCGGTTACCGGTCGTTATCTCGAATTGTCGATAACCCTACCGAAGTGACCGGTTCGGTTACAGCTAACCGGTCAGTTACTGATGGCCCTTTTATGCCTTAGGAAGTGCGGTGTGCGTGTGCACGCTGCGGCGCTGCTGCTTCTGCTCATGCTGCTTTGATTGCTGTGCGGCCGCAGCGGTTTTCTCGCTCTTCCTCCGGACTTCCCTGGAATAGCTGCTTATGGCTCACCTCATCGCCACACTCCGCAACTTTTCCACCCCACCCAAGCCAACTGCTCCAGCAGCTCTTCCCTCCTTGCCTTCTGCTCCATCTCACGCACGTTTCATGCACATCCTATCCTTGTTGAGATGGAGGCTGCGCGCAATGCACCGCCTATGGAACTGCATGAGGCGCCTTAGCAGCAGGTGTGTGTATACACCAGATTCGTACATCACGCCAACGCCGCCGGCCGCCGCACCCAGCCCTCGCAGCTATCCATAATAATAATGACCGTACAGTCCAAACACGACACCGTTCGTTCTCTTGCAACCCCGTGCCGTACAGCCTCCCCTGCGGAATACTGCGAGGCGAATGGCTGCACCGGGGCCGAGAGAGCCCTTTTCGGCTCCAAAGAAGTTGCTGACTACCCTAGTCCTATCTCCTATCCCTCCCCCCTAGCTCACGCACCACTTCGAGCACAACACCCATTGCGCACCGTTTCTACACATTCCTTCCCCCTCCTACACATATTACCCCCAGTGTTTCCACCCCCCTGCCCCTGGGCCCCACAAGGACTCCCCCAACCCCCCGGCCCCCACACACGTGCCACAGGCGCCTCAAGCGGGCACTTCGGGAGAGATTTGCTGCCGCGGTGGGTTCGGCACGGTCGGGGTTTACAGGCGACGGAGGTCCGGTGGTGGTGTTGTCGGGCCTTACGGGTACGTACAGCAGCTACGTCACCACCTGGGAGGAGTATCAGGTGAGTGGGGCTGTTCGATGGTGGGTCCTTTGATGGTGCACGGGGGCCTCCTCGAGCGGGTGTGTGCTTTGGAGGAGGGGGGGTATGTCTGGTGTGGTAGCCGGGTCGGCATCAGCCACGACAGCTTGGTGACCCAATAGTGGTTCCGAGGGAGAAACATAACGGCGGCGTGGGGAGGCCATAACACCGTCATCACCACCACCATCAGCATCACCACCACCACCACCAGGTATGTATACATAGGGGGGTGCTGCCGAAGATCCGGTCGGCACGGCGCCCATGTTACCAAGTGTCCTATCCTTTGATGCACTGACGACTGGCCTCCGTGGCTCCCCACCTACCCCTCTACCTATCACCACCCATGTTGCTAAGTTCCATGTTCCGCAAGGCGCAGTGGGTCACTTCGCTGGACTGCTGCCCGGGTGGGTCCCTCCTTTCGACGGTGCAGGTGCAGCGATACGAAGGCGCGTCTACGTTGTACGGCCCACACACCCTCGATGCGTACATACAGGTACGACACGTCATTACCAGCGTCATCAGTACCGCCAGCCAGATGGGGCCCTCAAAAGGGCTACCTTGTGCGGATAACCCCGGCACGTGTTTCTCCCTTCGCCCTGATCGTACCAGAACGCACCTCCGCCGTGTTTGCCACCTTTTGCCGGCGGTCAGGGT